AGACTCAATCCTGTCCTTCTGGTTTCAATCCAGAAGATGTCCTACCTCAGTCTGAATCCGAATCATGTGTCTACCCTCATTCACGAGTGTTATGCAAAGCCTTCAATGATGGTTGTGAACTTGGTTGGGCACTGGCATGAGATGATGAGGTCGAACTTGACAAAGAGACTCAGTGAAATATCCAGAAGTGTGTGCCACATTGTTGGTTTTCCATTGCAAAGGGAGGCTGTGTTCCATTTCATATCTCAACCCATCACACTGCTTACTGCACTGTACCAGCCACCACTAATCATGCCTTCAAGAACTCACTCTCAGCAAGCTGGTCACACTGTCAAATTACTCCCATGTAATAATCTAAACCTTGGCCTCTGACCTTCTGGCAATGCACATAAATGCTAGCATAACAAAGCATGTGTGAATTCCCATGATTTCTGGCAGGTGTCGGCATAAGTCTCTGCCTGGCCACTCTTCCTTTGTTTCTCCACCTGGCCACTTTTCCTTTGTTCTGAGGTGGTCAAAGGAAAGGAATCTACAGGATATCGACACGTTAGTCTCTGGTAATTCACTGGTTACCAACTTCATTGTTGGGTGCATGTGTCAGTATGACAATCACATCCTTAATCTTGTGTGTGGAAACCATGATTCCTGGTGAGTGTGGAATTCCAATATTCTTGTTGGTGATCTCAATTTTTGGTGCAGTACTATTTACTCTTTGGTATCAGCAGTCCCAAAAATTGCGATCTGCCAATGGACAGTTACAGCCCCAATACCAGGCACCATTTCCACTGAGCACTGCTGATCCTGCAGTAATTAGGACAGAGGTTGTGCATCTCCTTGAACTTGTCCAGCACTTGTGTGAGGGGCTGAACTCCTCTTTGCCCATTACAAAGCTTCCAGTGGAGCTCCTTCTAGATATCTTTCAATATGTCACAGACTCAGAAGTTGGGAGTCACTCACTGGTAGCCTGCAGTCATGTGTGCTGCTGGTGGTGGGCAATCACCACTACTTCTCCCCGACTTTGGGCTTGTGCAATCAATTTTGCCAATGATAATGGAGGGAGGGTAGCAATGATGATACAGCACTCTATGCCACATCTGCTGGATGTCTCCTGGGATTACATGTTCAACTGCTTGGAGAATATCTTTGGATTGATTGTTTATCAGTGGGACATACTAACTGCAGAGAACAATGTCTCTTGGGTGTTTGCCACACCACATCAGGTCCACTCTGTTTACTTACACCTACCCCTTGAACACATGATGATAATGGTGGCATGCATCCCAAGGTTTACACCCAACCTGGGAATGCTCATGCTGGTTGGCTACAACTCTTCTGAAGTGCTCGCTAGACCAACAATTCCCATACTCGAGCTCAGAGCACCAGCTCTTCGTGATCTGCATATCGAAAATTTCAGAATCCACTGGCTGCTGTTCCACCCTGAAGGCTTTTGTAATCTGTGGAATTTCACTCTCTGCCATCTCCCCACAGATTCCAGATTGTCTCTGAATTATTTGATGGCGTTTCTACTGGATATGCCTCTCCTTCAGGTCCTTGTCATTCACCAAGCCCTGCAGTGATCTGTTCCTCCATCTAGCCCATCAAGAATATTGTTTTCATGTCTTCATATGGTCATGTTGGAAGCTACTGCAGTGCATATGGCATTCCTGCTGGAATCCCTTACTACTCCCCACCTCCAACTACTAGAAGTTCACTCAGAAGATCTGAGTGTCCAAGGTAGCACTGCAGATTTGAATCATCTTTTGTCTGTTGTGGGAGCATGTGCTCAACTAACTACATACCACACAGTGGAGGTTCATTATGATGCAATGTCAATCCAAGTTTTTGGCTTTCCAGAGGCGATTGGTTACATTGACACACCCTCTGTCCCGCATGTCATCCATTTATCCTTAGAATGGTCCAGTGCCATTCCCTGGAATGCCACCTGTATGGCCAGCTCCTTTCCCTCTCTTCTGCATGTACAGTGTCTACATTTCATCTTTGGCATGGATTGTCACAACAGAATTCCCATTCGTACCTGGACCAAAATCCTGTTAATGTATCCAGCTGTGCAACACCTGAGCATCTACAGGATGTCGTCAACTAGCCTATTAGATGCACTTCTGCAGCATCCTACCCACTCCTGGACCTGGACCTCCTGATTTTGATTGCCATACCCTTTTACCATGTCTGTGCTCAGTTGTTCTGACAGTTGACATGAGTTTTGTGGGGTCACTTAACCATTATATGGTAGCATTGTCCAATACTTGCCCAGCAGTAGAAGTTGTGCTCGGCCAGTACTGATAATACGAAACTTAGGAACATTTCTGAGTTTAAAATAGCACAGGAGGACTGAATTTCACCAATCAACAGTAATCAACAGAGTGAAAGAGCGAAGTGCTATTATGTAAGCCTAATCTTTAACTTTTTCATTCCTATTTTGCAACTATGTATCTGGATTCCAGAGGCTCGGCCCCCCCTCCCCCCACACTACACTGATCACAATGCAAGGAAGTATAACCAAATCCTTTCATTCCTGACCTCTTTCAGTCCAAGCTAAAGGTTTTTCATCAAGCAGGGCAGCTATCTGGGTGAGGTCACTTGCTCAGACATCAAGTCATAATATGGACTATTTTCATGAGTAGATCAGAGATAGATGGGATGAGTTTGACCAGACCATCGAATATGTGTTGAGCTGATGCCCAAACCAATGGTAAGGGCTGAAGAAAGAGTGACTTGCTTTAGCTGTGTTCACAAAGGTGTATGTGCTCATGCAAGACAATCAAGTAACTCATTGGGTGGGTGACATTTATCTATAGCTACCAATTGGCCAGGTCCTCATGGCTTGCAGCACCACTCATTCTCTTTCTAATGAAAAAACCCAGAGTGCCACTACTACTATTCCTTTGTGCATTGAATGCCAGCTAGCTATATAAAGAGGTTGTTGTATGGGGAACATTCCAATGCTCACATCCCCTCCCAAGGTTTTTTACACAATGTCCCCTACAACACACTCCATGCCTCATAAAGGTGTCAGACACTATTCCCCATACAATCTATGATCTCGTGGCTCCCACCAAACATTTGAGACCCTATCTGCTCCCTTGAGGACCCCTACCTGCCCTTGCAACCCCTCTGGCCCTCATCTGGTCCCTGCTGTTGGTCTTGACATGCATGGGAGTACCTCTATGTATGACATTGTGCACCAAGCGGTACTCAATGGTATTCCACTGGTGCATACTTTCTTTGTTCATGCCACTTTTCATGAAAACCAATTTCTGCAGGACAATATATACTACTCTATGATCCTCGTGTTTGCTCGCAATTGCACAGAAACAGTCGATGCTGTGTATGTTGAGCAGCAGCACATGTGAGTACCACCCTTGTTATACCTCAGGAGTTCTAGTGTTCATTCAGAGCAATGGCAGCATACTGAAAATAGAAGCTGGAGAGCCAATTTTGGACAAAGAATGGGTGCGCCTCTACTCTCATTTGTTAATTAACTTGCTCAGCATTCCACTTCAGAGAATATTCTCTCCACTCCAAGTGAGTTGCACCAAGGGCCTTATGGAACTTGCAAATACCCTCATTGAGTTTGTGGAATGCTGGTAAGCCACCCCTAGTAACCACTGGGCCAACTTACTGATGGGTCTTTACAGTATTCTGGCAGATAGGGATGTCTTGCAGTAGGCCATCTGCCCATGAACTCAGCAGGTAGTATCATGTTACACGGCTGAATTTATCCTGAATCTGTAATGGTAATTGTACATGTAGAATATTTGACTGTCATGCTGTGGAGCAAAGGGCACAATTTCATTTTTGTTAGTTATACTTGACTGGGTTTCAATGTTCAACATTCAACCTTGCTTTGCATAGTGGTGATGTGTGGTACATCCAGAATCAAAACAGACAAGTTGAATATCGACATAGCTATGCAAACAGTGTGCATACAATTTCCTATGATGGCTGTGTATGCTTTCACCGATCAAGCCTCTCATAGTCTGGAATCGTCACAGGAAGAATGATTGCTACAAGTTGAACAGCAGCATCACTTACACATGTGTTTTTCTGATGCCCCCTGCATTTTTTTCTGAGGTACTGTGTGCATTTCTATGATGCTGCATCATACTTCATGTGTCCAATCCTTGCAGAGTATGTGTGCTTCTGTGGCCTCCTCAAGAAAGGCACACCTGTGCTTCTCAAAAGTCTCTAACTCAGTCCTTGACAATAACATTGTACATGACAACTTCTTGCCTCTTGCCTGTGTTCATGTTTAGTTGGCATTCCAATGTAGACGGTTCACATAAATTTTGTGCACTATGTTTTGTATATTTACAATAAGGGAATTCACAGTTCATTTTTGACAGCTGTTTTCATGTGTTTTCATTTTTGTTGTGTGGAGTTGGCCGAAAATGGTGTTTTTCTCTGATATCCCTCATTTTTGCTCGTGTTTTCACTTGCAACAAAGTTCTGGAGTTTGAATATGCAGTAGTTACACTCTGAAATGATTATCATTCTCACATCAAAGACCACTGTCCCTCAGGGATTTTTCCTTCTTCGCATGTGATTTTGCTGCTGGCAGACTGGCCAAAACAGATGGCACAGGTATTGACTTGATGCGAGGCATAAATCCATCCAGAATTACCAAGAAGACATGGCATAGGGTCACCAGTGGGTGTGTCTACTTACTAGGCAAAGGATCATGTTTCAAAGTCCACTGGGGAGTGCCTGCATCAAATGAAAATGTCAGGGGTCATTTTTGCGCCATTTTCATCAAGGACATCAAAAATGAGGTCGAAAACAGCCATCAAAAATGAACTGTGAATTCCCCTAGTGGGATGGACTCCACACATGTGCATGGTACACACAAAAAAAAGTGCAAGGTAACTAAGAGTTGGAAAAACATGCATCTATGTATGGCATAAAATCTGCATGTTTATTTTTTGCAGTTGCATCGCCACATCACTGCATCTGTTCAGCCATGATACCTATATGCCATGGCCTCACCACTGCATCCAATCAGCCATGTCACCCATATGTTGTGGCCTCACTGCCTCACTGCCATGCCTGTTATTTTTAACTGTACCACCATGTAATTGTATTATTGTATATAGTACAACTTAGTTGTGCTTCGAAATTGGCTTATGAGCCAGGCCAAGATAACTTTGACTTAAATGAAGTCTTGTCAATTTATATGATGTGCCACCACATTTCTACATACAATTACAAGAAGTAACAAATGATACATGACGAGACCTACATAGGTATAATGCTCTGGACAAGACAATCTCTAACATGGGTAATGAATCGGTGGGAGTGGGCAAGTGGTTTATTTATGTGCATTATATTTGAAAACATATACCTCTTGCAATCTTCACTGACACAGCCAAACTGCAATTTCCTGAAGAGATCAATAGCATCATCAAAACTGTATGGGCTCCTTCCATTGAGGAGGAGTTGCCCCATGCCATTCCACCACACTGCACCCCAGTCTTCTTCACACCCCTTATGATCCTGACAGCGAGCAGCATGTATGATAGGGGGGGCCTCCACAGCAACTGTGCAGACATACTCATCCAGGAGGGACCTGACATAAATGTAGGTGATGTAAGTTTCCATCCCCATCCAGCAACAGTGAATCTTCTTGATCTTCGTCAGAGGGAGGTTGCAGAGCCTCATAAAACCTCTTTTGAAGAGTGCCTGAATCTTGTACTCAATGCCCAGATAAATGAGTTCAGAAGGATGGAAGGAATATGATTTCTCAATGATGCAGGAAGTAATGAAGCTGAGTAGGCATGCACTGCATTGGAACTTGTGGATAAACTCCAGGAGGTTCTTGAGGTCATCTGCAGAATATTTAGCAGGTGGGCAGGGACTTTAGTAGGTGAAATCAGTACATGCATCAGAGCAGAAACTCATAGACTTACCATGTGAACTTGATCTTGAGGCACAAGTCAGAAATTTCTGTAGTGAGAAATCCATCCTTCACAATAATTGGGTTCTGATCAGCATGCCCCTCCATATCCTTGTCCTCTAGCACAAATTTGCCAAGTGAAAAGAGGTCAGAAAAGAAGGCTGACTCGTTCACCAAGATGTTGTGGTTGAGTTTGTAAAGGAAATTTTTGACCAGGATAATGTATGTGCCATTTTCAAAATAAAAGTTGGGATGGCAGGTGGCCATCACAGTTGCTGGTGCTGAAGGACTAGTCATGATTAGGGCAAAACACTGGAAGGGTTAGGCCTAGAAAATTGTGCATCAAAATTATGTCAGTTATTTGTTTGGCTGTATGTGGGTTTAGGTTTCATGTGTCCAGACCTATGTATGTACTCTGTTATCGATGGCAACTTCGCTCCCAAGTGCCATCCCTCAGCTACCTGCGAGCACCACACCATGGCCACCCGATCTCCTCACCACTTTTGACTCGCTATCCAAAATTTACCAGTGTGCTCTCCATGCCTGGACTCAAGAGGATGATGACCCGGTTTGCTTAGACTGCCACCTTGGCTTTCTGGAAGGCAATGCAATGCATCTCCTTACTGCAATTGAAGAAGACCATCTAGGATCTGATCTGTCTGACTGGCTCTCACTGGTGGCCGAGTCAATTGGAAGACTGCATGCAGCACTTACATGTTATTGAGACAGCATGAGGACTCAGTGAGTACATTTGAATAAATGGTCGCTGACACTAACAGTCTGTCATGCCAACTCATGATTAGTGTTGATAACACTGTAGAGATCCTAGAGCCTGTGATGGAAATTCACACCGGCTTATGAGGATGACCAAGGAAAGTCATTAACATTGGCATTCTCAAGGAGGCCATTTCAACTTCAAGGCAAATCCACACCACCAAGCTTGCGCATGTCCTTGGAATCCACAGAAACACCTTATGTTCTTACATGAAGTCTCACAGCATCAAATGAAGATACATGAAGATCACAGATATGGAGCTTGATAAGCTTGTTACTGCATTCAAGAAGAGATGGCCCAAGTCCAGCCTTCACTATATCATGGGGTTTATGCGAGCACAGGGGATCCATGTGCAACATCACCATGTAATTCAGTTGCTTCGAAGGATCGATCGACTAGGTCAAGCTTTATGAGACTGCTGCATGAAAATGAGATGCAAGTATCACATCAAATGGCCAAATGTGCTGTGGCACATCAACAGCCAACACAAGCTGATCTGGTGGGGAATTGTCATCCATGGGTTTATCAATGGCTTTTGCTGCACAGTATGTCTATCTCCTTCTCAAGTTTGTCACATTTGTTGATTCACTCATAGGTTACTGCAATTCATGCTAGCGACAACAACCAGTCATCGAATGTCCTTTGCTTATTCAAACACACTACTCAACAATATGGAATACCTTCTCATGTACATGGAGACTGTGGTGGTGAGAACATTGATGTTGCGACATACATGATCATGAAGAATGGCCACCACTGTGGCTCATTTATCTGGGGAACGTGAGTTTTACATTATTTTTGTATTCATCATTGCTGATCATATGGATAGTTCAACTCGGAATTGTTGCATTGAGTGCTTATGGGTCAAAGTTGGATCCCAATTTGCCAGATGCTGGCATGCTTTTTTTGCACAGCTTGAACATGTTCATATGCTCAATATTGAAAACCCATCACATATCTGGTTACTCCACACACTGTTCCTTGAAGATATCAATCATGACTGCCAGGTGTTTCAGGAGGAGTGGAACTGCCACCCAATGGGTGGTGCAGGTACTAACAACAAGAGTCCATTGGTAAATCTCAAATTTTATTAGTTTATACTCTTCATCTCATGAAATACAGGATATGCATCTGCTTGGTCAGATTCAATTTGGAATCTACCAAGAGCATGAAGATTGTGAAGGATGTAACCTTGCCAATGATGAAGTAATGGAGACAGCTGATGCGATTGCACACCAACAGCAAGTTCACATTAAACATGAGGCTGTGCATATACTGTCTCTTTGGCACCCTTTTCAGAATGATGAAGAAGAACTAACCTTCTTCAGGGGTCTTCAACAGGTAGTCATGCAGGACATCATGCTGGAAAATTTCGGGTTGACAGCAACAGAGTGGGACTCTGACACATACCCATTGATTGAGACTATACACATTGGGCACCACACACAAAAAGAGGTAGATATTTCATTGGCTGATGCGATTTGGTATTCCCGGGCATGCCTATGGTGCCAGGTGTTGTCTACATTATCATTCTACTTAATGAGCCATGGCTCATGATTTGTATAAATACATCTGAATTTTACTGCAGTAACACCAACTGCATTCACCCCATCCTCACTTAGCATGTCAAGTGCATCAACCTGGACAAACCTCTGCCAGGGTGGAGGTGGTCAATGCGATTGCGAGTGCTTTAGGCCTAAGGCAGATGACCCCACTCATTGCTGGGAATGTTCACATGGGTTCAGTAAGCACCTGCATGCTGACAATTCCCCAGCTGTCAATGCCCCAGCCATCACCCAATCACAGCCTGCTGTATGTGGCTCATCAAATGTGGCAAAAATATTTGAAGGACATACTTCAAGACATCTCACTGGCACTTCTCAACTGAATCCCTGCCAGGAGGTGCTGGAAACTAAATCTTCAAAGCTGAAGCTGCTTTCAACATTATGGATGACTGCTTCTAACAAATGCAAGGTAGGCATTTGTAGTGCCTTGGGACTGCTTGGGCTGACATTTTTATTCCAGCCTTCTCAACAGCAAACCAGTGGTCAGACATTCCATGTCAGCTCTGTCATGATCATTACATGCGGAATAGATGTATTTTTTCTTTTTAAATTTTTATTGCACAGACTCTTACTTCGCAAATTGAAATACAGGCAAATGGCCAGTTAATGAAGGACCCGATCTTGCTGCAGATGACTGTGGAGAAGAGACTGTTCATCCAACACTTGGAAAACCATGGATGCTATCTCCAACAAATGATTGAAGTTAACTCTTCTTGGTCACATGAAGATGTTACAGCTCAGCTGTGTTCATGGTTCCTGAATGTTTTTCAATATTTTGACTGTCATCACAAGAAAGCCAATATGAGGTCCCAAACCCAACCTGACTGGCAGCTTCTTGTTCCCACTAATGGCAGACTCAAACTCTCTATGGCTGTTCGACCAAATGGTATTGTTCTCACCCATTTCAAAGGACGTCAGAAGTCTGGCATTGCTGATAGTAACCTGTGGTTCTGTATGTGGCTAAAATATTACAACTTTGGCCATCCTTATTTTTTGGACAGTCACTTGAAATCCTGTCCCCAATCATATTTTTGACAAGTGGAAGGTTGGATCAGATGTAATGGGAACTGATGAAGAGGCTATGAGTGAGAGTGACGATGAGGTGGTTGAGCTATTGAGTTCCATTGCTGACCTCAAAATCACTATGGTGACTGGGACTGGTAAGTTAAGTACTGTTGTTTTTACCATCAAAATCAACTTTTTTTTTCTAGGCAAGAGGTTGCATTCTATTAATGTCTTATCCTCCACTGAGGCTATGGACTCCAATAGGCAGTCCTTCTGCAAGAAATGCAAAGGCTGTATGTTTGTATTTAGTTGACTTACAGTAACATACTAATCACACAATATCTGCACTAAGTAAATGCTGATGCCCAACCTGCTTGGCCTCATCAGCCTGGGGGGTCCATTTCTGGCCCTGTTGAAGTGAAAGATTTCTTATCTGACAGCGATGACAATGCCCCATCTCTGCCAAATCCATGGTTTGTGCAATTTGAACAGACAACAACAGTGAAGGATGGAGATATTTCTGACATTGATTTGTGATACTTGCATTTTTTTCACTTGCTACTTATCACTCCCTAATGTCCATAGTACTGTCTGAATCTGAATTGTTTTGCCAGCAGTTGTGCCAGCCTATATTGAGAATATCTACACAAGTGTGACTAATAGTGAAGTTGTAGCATGCCACTCTCAGCCCTTATAGTCTTGTAATATTGAACTACCAGCCACACATACCAAGCTGCCCCCCTTGCTCCATCGCAAGCAAGGGTGGCAAGGAATGTTCCAAGCATGTTCGCACACACCAGCACCATTCATGAAGAAGGTATGTGGCTTTTGCACTTGCAATATCATGATTTTTTTACACTTGAGCAGCCAAAGAAGAACTTGGTCAATCTATGATGGACAATATATCTCTTTGACACTTTTATCAGTTTATTTGATCTCCCTGGTCCACAGAACATGTCAGGCAGATCCAACTTGCTGGACCAATTCTGCATTAACTTCACCAATGAATGACTGCACTGTTTCATTCAACAATGGCTGTTTGAGTCCCACATCAATGAATACCAATCAGAAGGCATATCTAAATATGTCCCCCTCATTCCTTACTTTGACAACTCTGAATGCATCCAACTCCTCTGGAATGAATCTGGTGGCCTTATTCACATCATGGATGACCAAGCTCACTGATCCCACAAAAAGATGGATCACACCATGGCCAACACCTTTGCCAAGTGATGGGGAAACCATTCTTCCTTTAAACTAGGAGGTGGGTCTGGTTTCCCAACATTCACCATTTGCCATTTCAATGACCCGGTGACATATTCCTCAGAGGCATTTTTAGAGTGCAACCTCAATGCTCTTAACCCCAATTTTGTGGCTCTTCTTTGCGGCATGGTGGCTGTTGCTGGCCTCAGGGATGGTGCTGAAGGGGCAGGGTCCATCAATCCCTTCATCAAAGGTCTCTTCTCAGGGAAAGCCACTGCCACACAGGCCCATCCCAAGAGTGAGGACATGATCATTGTGGCCCAACAACCTGTCAAACCCATGTGTGCTCCTTCCACCTGCCTGAAGAATACCATTCATTGTATGCCACTGGCATGACTCCTCCCATCATTGAAGAAGAACATGAGGACGAGGATGTCACTACTTCCCAGAACACAGGTACTCCATGCATCACAGGTGAGTTCTGTGTTGCCCTTGATACACTCTTCAATACGTTGGGAGACACACACAATTGGTTCATGTTCTGTATCAACCTGAACAACTCCCAACTCCCAAACCAGCTGGAAGGATGGTCAGTCAAGGGTCAGGTATGCAGCTCAGGGTTGGTTGAGATTGTGAAGAGGAATGCATGTATGTTTGAGGTTGGTATGACTCTGGATGAATTTTGTCAGAGGTACAGGGATCTGATGACCAAGGTACAGCCCAATATTTCACCATGGACCATCACCCACAATGGAGTCCACTCACAGTTCGTGCAGTGTGGTGCTTGGTGATGTGTTGGGCCCACAAGAGCCCCTGCCTGTGCACATATGCCTTACCATATGTGGTAACCAAACTGACCCTGGGATTTTCCAGAGAACCCCACATACCAGACATGGTGGCACAGCATGTAAGTTTTCCTGATTATTGGGACTTATCGCCAATGAAAACTGTGTAGGATTGGGTGGGATGTGAGCTGCCCTGGTTGGATTTGGGTGAGATAGGATACTTGCCAACAATTTGATATTGTTACACATTATATTGCCATAAGCCTAATGGTGTCCAGGAATACAATGATGTCTTTGCACTCTGTTTTTACTGCACTAAGATTTACTGTACATAATAACTGTGTGGGGAATGCTAACTGTCAACCAGAATTATAGATATCAATCCTGGAAAGAACCGTTTCCAGATGTCAGCTCACAGGACCAACAGGACAGATGTGATGCCTACCTTATCCAAGGATTGTACATACAATATATCATGCCCAACTTCATTTGTGGGTATTATGGCAGATGTGAAGTAGCACACTACATCTGCGCTAGTTATCAGCAATGCATCGGGAAGAGTACTTGTGGAGACACAATATATTCCTGCATCTGGGAAGGCCATGTATACATTGGCAAGTGCCAACTCTTCTGATAATCCAGCATATCGAGCCACAATAAAGAACATCTGTGCTGCCTTCTGCCCACTAGTTGTCGTTCTTGCATGGTAGAAAATGCACTGAATTATTCCTGCTGCAAGCCCACCGTCGATCTGGAAGATGATGCAGCTGTTTGGGGGGGACTTGGATTCCACTGAAAAGGACTCTCCATGCCAACTAATGGACTGGCGAGGATAGGCATAGGGCCTAACACCTTTAGTCACATCATAGTCACTTGTATGTCTCAAGAGCCATTCATTGAGGAGGTGGTAGTCATCTTTATGCAACAGTTTGAGATCCAATTCGCTGCCATTTGCACCCTGTGCCACTTCATCCAGTGATCCATCAAATGACAACATATCATTGAACAAAGTTCCCTGCATATTTGTCTGAAAGATATGATCGAAGTCGAGAAGCAGACTCATTGCCTCAGGAGGCATGGACTTGGAAGATAACAAAGCCCATAAATGTTGGCCCATACAGAAGTGGTGCAGCATGGTCTGCTCCATTTCACCTATCATGTGGATATAGTCTTATAACCCAATAAAATCGTATTGTGTGCTTACCATGTTTTCCATTAGTTGGGATCTTCTGAAGCATGCCATTATACCTCTCAAATGGAAAGCACCTCCAGGCATGAACTGGACCAAAATCCTGAAGGAGTTCTACAAGATGAAGGCAAATGTGATGGGCAGGTGCAAGGCAAAGACCTGGATAGAGGTCCAGTAATGTCTGCAAGTACCACTTCATGTAGAATTTGTACTTGGATATGTGGTCAGACATCATGGTATGCATCATAGCTAACCTGGTTGCTGAGACTAAGTCCATGAAGTTGGCGAACATCTTGTACTCGACAGAATGTGGATCTTTTGTCCCCCAGAGGTGTCCAAGGGTGAACAGGAGGTTAACTGTGAACAGAGTTCAATATTGATCAGCAGACAGTTTTCCATTCCGAGCACTCCTGACTCCCCATGGCACAGGGGCAATCCAGGAAGGGAGAGACAAGCGATCCATATGCTCCCAAATGGAGGCTAGGGTGGTATGACTGAGTACTCTCGTCTTCTTAGCTTTCCTTTGTTGCTGGCACTTGCTTGCCTTCAGTGCATGAGTCTCCACCAAATTACCATTGTCCACAATGCCTGTCTTTTTCCACTGGGACCATCCAACAACAAAATACTGTGAGTGCACTGTTCATGAGGATGAGGTGTTGCAGACATACCCAATCATCCAACTTCAGAGCCAATTCGAGCTTAGAAAGTCCATCATAAGATGGATGATCACTTGTTTCATGGGCACCTTCACTCCTGCCAAGCTTCGCAACACAAAGCGCAACTAGAGAAGCCCTATGAAGTCAACATAGCGCTTTCGTGCCTGTCATGGTCCCCAACACTGCTAGTGCTTCCTCATGTCCATTATCACCTGGGATCTCCATTTCAGGTTGAACACAATCTGTAGAATGGTTGGGCTGCCCTCATGAAGTGTCCGCTTTCCAGTTTCCCAACTCAGCTGGATTTGTGGCCTCTATATGCTTGCACTATCCATCACAACAACATAATAAGTTAATCAGTTTGCAGACAAGCAATTCAAATAGGAGGAGCATACAAGGTCATTTACCAGCTCCTCTTTTACTCATGCAGTGTAGTAAGCGACTCACTCTTCTGCATCTAATAGCCTCCCAGATACAAATGGAGCTGGAAGTTTCAGGGAACACAAGAACACTAGCAAGGCTTTCTTGAGACACATCAAGGTTGAGTGACTGGGAGCTTTGAGCAGTACATTCAAGGCCTTTTCTCTCTCACCTTCCAGCAGATTGAGAGCACAGCATATCACATGGTCATCATCATTGTCATCAGTCAGGCCCCCTGGCATGTGCACAGGGGGCACATGGTGAACTGAACTTGACCCTGGGGGAATGGCATTAGGTGCTAGCAGAAGATCAGCAGATGGTAAATCATTTGATTCACCAGTAGTTGCAGCAGGTGTGCTAGAGTCAGAAGTCACATGGGGAAAATCTGGTTCTTTGTTCCAGTCCATCTGGTTTCTCTGCAAAAGAAATCATATTCAAAAAGATTCAAGAAAGAGTGCACAAACCGGACTCATGAATCTCATAAGTCATTTAATGAGCTTGCCTTTCTTGCCACTGAAACAGATTTGAAGCTCCCAACACATGAAGCGAAGCACAGGCTTGCTCAACTTGCACAGGGCCTTGACAGTCCCAGATCAGAGAATGTGAAGACCACTTTGAACTTGATCATATGATGGAGGCTGGTTCATTATGAGTTTGTCATATGTTGCTATGAGACCATCATCAAGCTGGTCATCCATTCCCCACACTTCACAGCAGTGCTTCTGAATGAGGACAAGCAGAAAAGTGTGCATCGAGTTGAGGAGAACAAACTTTAGAGGATCCCAGTATGGTAGTCAGAGGAGTTCTGACCATCATATGCCATACTCTTCATAAAGCATGCAATGGGCAGTTTCTGAAGGTGCATCCCTCCATTGTTGTGCAATAGATAAGTGTTCTTCTTGGGTCAAGTGTGGCCAGGTTGATTCATCGAAATTCTCTATGTCTTGCAGCTTCATATGGCAATAGGAGCAGCAATTAGTAGATGTGTAGGAGGCATATCCAGCCATCTGACGAGCAGCAGGGAGATCACAAATGAGTGGTACAAGTGCACATCGGACTGTGTGACCTGTGGGATGACAGGTTGTTCTGGAGAATTGGATCCCATCATGCCACACAGTAAGAAGATCATCTACCAATGGCCAAAGAAGATGGTTAATTTGGTGGAGGGAGGGTTCATATGGTCCTGGGATGATCCCAGCAAGGAACATGTTCTCGGCTTTGTAGTGGATCTCCAGAGGAAGGTTAAGGATGGGGATTCTCCATGCCATGTTGGGGATTCTCCATGGCCCACTGGGGATTCTCCATGACATATTGGAGATTCTCCATGACCCCCTGGGGATTCTCCATGTCAAGGGTGAGGATTCTCCATGCCAAGGGTGGGGTTTTGTGATGAAAGCAACTTCATTTAAGTCACACAGGCATAGTCTGTTCTTGTAGGAGTAAGTCTTACAGTCACTCAGGAAGAACTGGACAAAAGTCTCTGTTTGAGGTAGACTGGGGAGCAAGTACATCAGTAACTATGGTTTATATATGTTCAGAGTGTGGTGGGAGACAAACAAGTACCTAAAAAGGGAGGTATAAAGGAAGAGAAAGAAAAGGGGACATAAAACATTAATATTCTGAGGCATTAATGGTCATGTAAGATCATGAATTGTTACATTTGCCCTCCTGACCTTCGACAAGAAGGTTAAATCATTTAGTTCATTACCACACTATCCATTGGAGTAGCAGCTGTGTAGATCATAAGTATAATCACAGAGAAAATGAGGATGATAGTCCAACCTGTGGATGGACCAGTGGTCTCTGAGCTGGTAGGGGTATTCTGAGATCTGTTGATGGTAGAGTTGATCTCTAGGTTCTGTAACATGGCATCGACATTTGCTGAGTAGTTATTGAACTTGTGGAAGGGGTTGCAAGGATTATTGGACAAGAAAGATGCATTGGGCTGAGCTGGGGTCTGAGAGACATCTTCAAAGGGTTGATTGCAGAAATTGCAAGAATGGTTCTTGAAGAAGGTAGTTCTTCCTTGCTTGGGATGACCATGGTTTTTGCACCCTCCACCTTGACCCCTGGGTGCATAGGGGTTGTGTTGACAGTGCCTTGGATTACCATGAGACACATTGGAGTTGTGGTATCTGCAGCAAAATGGTTGAAGATTACCTGAGTTAGGTATCCAGCTTGATTGTTACCATGTCAAGTTGAATTTCTCTTGGGCTTCACTGTTTGAGCTTGCCTGAATGCAGGAGGAAGGGGGTATCATAGATACAGATCAGGATCATCTGCATGAAGGACACAGAAGTTAACATAACTGGGTGGAACAACATCTCATTTGATGTCAAACAAGCCATCACAGATGGCTGTAGCAGTGATGCAGAAATGTTCTAGTTTGAGTGGCATGAAGTGCATGTTTGATTGTGGGGTGCTGGTTGACTGGGTATTCATAGTTCACTTTTTAAATGTTCTTGGGCTCCTCCTGGGGGTGGTCCTTGAGGCCAAGGAGTAATCAGTGGACAGAGCTGGCAGAGTTGCCCAGCTGTTGCTCATGGTGATGTTGTTGATGATGTCTAGTGCTTCACAACAGGCAGCACGATCAAGTGTGGATATAGTGAGTAGAGGTAGCTCTTGTGGAGTGTGGTCACTCTGGTTCCTGGGTGCAAGGTTATCAGCACTAGGTACATTCAGTGCTTCTAGGTATTGGGTGAACACTTCAAGGTGTGAGACCTCATGGAATGGGAGCCAAGCCTTGTCACCACTTGAGTATTCTACCTGAAAGAGGGCATCTCTCCCCCTTCCATGGTGATCTGTAATCCACTTGACTGAGAGGTGTTTGGTTTTCCCAAGGCTGATTATTTGAGGGAGTTGTTGCCTGGGGAAGTGTTGATCATCATTAGGGACATGCAGATGTAACAGGCTGGCATGAAAGGTGGGGTGCATGCTGTGCTGTTTGAGGTCATTTGGCAAATCAAGCAGGAATGTGTTGTTCCAGTAGTCATCTAAGATCTTATAGGGGCTGATAAACTTAGGTGTGAGTTTTCGAGCATGCCCTTTAGGTAATGCTATGTTGGCTGTAGATAGGTATACTAAGTCACCTTTAACAAATGGCATGTCCCTATGTTTCCATTTGCCATAGTAGTTTGTTTTATACACACAGCAATAATTGAATCATGGGCTTGCATAATGGCATTTTTCATGGACTGGGCAAATATTCTTACACTGGGGAATCCTGAGTTGGTTTCCCAGATCATGGATCTTGGTGACTGCCTGTAGTTTAGCATAAATGGGGTAAACCTGGTAGTTTCTGACTGAGCCAAGTTCATTGCAAATTCAATTGCTGGTAGTTTCAATGCCCAGTCTTTCTGGTTTGGGGATATGCATGCATGTAGCATCTGAGTGAAGGTGTGGTTGGCCTGCTCAGTGATTCCATCAGTCTGTGGATGAAAGCTTGATGACATTCTTAGTTCAGTGCCTGTCAGCTCATTTAGTTTATTCCAGAATGTACTCATAAATAGTGAGTCTCAGTCACTGATGATATTCCAAGGCATTCCATGGTGCTTGTACACTCTGTCAAACATTACCTTGGCAATGTCTTTGGCATGGTAAGTCTGTTTCATAGGGACAAGGTGTACCATGACAGTTAGGTAATCAATTATGACAAGTGTCATATCAAAGGTTCCATTGAGTGTACATGATTCCAGCAAAGGGCTGACAAAGTCAATTCCAATGGTTTCCCAGGGGTAGGTAGGGACATCTAGCATCTCCAATAGTCCATAGCTGGGATGATCACTGGACTTAGAGGTCTGACATAGTGTACAGGATTTACAGAATTCATCTACATCAGAATTGATACCCTTCCACCATATGTTGTCTTGCAGGTAGTTGGTGGTTTTCCCTGGCCCAAGGTGTGCTAAGATTGAATGTGTGTGTGAGATCAAGATCTTGCATAAGTGGCAGGAACCTATGCTTATATCAGGAATACAAAGAATTTGCTGTCCTTTGTCTTTCAGGTAAATCAGACTGTTGTCTACTTCAAAATTTTTGTAGTTCTTAGGGTTTTTAACAATGTCAATAAAGAATTTATCCTTATGGTATTGATGGTGTATGTCCTCACATATGTCTAAGTCTGACTCTGCCATGGTGACTAACTCAGGCAATGAGGTTGGTACCTGTTCACTGGGTGTGTCAGCCATAATGTCATTGCCTGGACTGTTGTCAACATGTGTCATAGGTATTTTTGTCTTGGCAGGTGTCTTGGGTACTGTTGGCACATCAGGTGATATGTCAGGCTTTGGCATACTCCTGCCCTCCAGTGATCATGTTGGGTCACCAGGTAACTTCAGGATCACTCGCTTCACATTAGGGAATGCTTCCTGTGCACTAGACTGACACCTTGTTGCTTCCAGGAAGATGGGTGAGCCCATGTACAGTGGGGTGGTAATCAAGTTCAGTAGCAGCATTGAAGGTGCATGCTCCTCTTCAGCACTGACATATTCTGAGGCTGATTGTACCATCCCCTTAGGTTCATCTGAGTATATACAGCTCAGTGTGTTGGTGATGACATTCATCTTGCCTGGTATATGTATGATCTCAAAATCAAAGTTGCCCAATGTTTCAAGCCACCTAGCCTGCCATGGGGACAGCTGTTGTTGTGTCTGGATCCATTCAAGTCCTTTATGGTCAGTGAATATGTGGAATTTTGTGCCTTGCAGTAAGTGTTGGAATCTTTTCAATGACTCAACTATAGCTAATAGTTCCTGTTCATGCATGGGGTAATTCTGTTGGGCTGGGTTAAATTTACCAGACCAAAATGTGATAATGTTCCCTTTTTCCATAGTTTCTCCCTGCCAAATTACACTGCTTCCACCTGACAGGCACCACATCACAAGACAAGTTTATTGGGGCATGTCCTAGCATTGTTCATCATATCTTGCAATGTGTATGTACTAACTCCTTTACTAAATCAAATGCCCTTTGTTCTGTGAATGACCAGTGCCAAGGAGTGTTGGCTGCTGCTGTCTTGTGCAGGTGCCCAAGGGGTATGCAAACACCTTTGCATCTGGGTGCAAGATACCTGACTGCTCTGATGAAGCCCATGAGTAGGTCTTGTTAGTGGGTGTTCTCCAATTAATGATTTTATCTACTTTGTCAGGGTCCATTCTAATACCATCTGCATCAATCACATGTCCCAGGATTTGTAATTCATCCATAAAAAACTGCAGTTTGTGTTCGCTTAGGTAGAATTTGTGTCTTTGCAGAGTGTCAATGGCAATTTTAACATGCTTTACATGTTCTTTGAGTAAGTCAGAGTAGATCACTATGCCATCCAGGTAGACATCCATGAAGATTCCTATGTATGGTGCAAATATGTGGTTCATTAATGACTAATAAGTTGTGCCTGCATTGCAGTTGCTGATCTGCATTACATGACTGATCATGGTCCCATTGGGTGTTGTAAATAGCATTTTGGGAACATCCTCAGGAGTGATGTGGATCTGCTCATAAGCATCCTTGCCATTGAACAGGGACCCATAGGGGTGAGATATGACGTTGCAGAGGATTTCCTCCATGTCTGGTAGTGGGGATGCTAGTTTCCTGGTATTTGCATTTCATTCCCTCATATCTATTACCATTGTTAGTCTTAGTGATCCATCCTTTGTGGCCTTTTTTAGCATTAGCATTGGGATTGCATTTGTACTGCTGCTGAACTCCCAATGTCTGGTTCAAATATAATCATCACACTTCAAGCACCTAAGGGGCTTAAGAGGTTCAGGGCAATGAGATGGTTGCCATGAATATACTTTATTTTTGTCAATCAATGGAATAACATGGTTAATATCACAGAGAGGGGGAAGGAGGGTTTCAATGGCTTCTTTGCATATATCCCTCACATATGCTCTTAGTTCCTCTTGGCACCATTCCTTCTCATCTGCCAGCAGCTTGGCTGCACATGACTCCAGTGCAATTGTGTGTGGTCCTCAGACTGGCAGTGAGTTATTGCTGCAAACAGTGATCTGAGATGGGTTAAACCCAAGTAACACTTGGTGTTGAAATAGGAATGGCATACCTAAGATTAGGTCATATGAGTCAAGGTTTGTGACATCTAGTACACACTTCTCATGAATATTCTGGTACAAGATCCAGGGTGTTGTGGTTGCTTTGACCTTTCTGTGCAATCCTGAGACCACAAGCTGGAGGTTCAAGGGTTTTTTGAGTAGATCAAGAGGAAGTTGTAGTTGGTCTACAAGCGTGGTAGAGACAAAGTCAGAAGGTGATCCTGAGTCAAGCAGTGCTCAACATGGCTTGTCATTAATGCAGACTACAACAATAGTGGCACTCAAGGTGGCTTTGGAAGTGCTCTGGAAGTGCTCTGGAAGTGGCAAATTTGAGAGCAATGCCATGATGGAGTTTGAAAATTATGCCTCCCTATTGACAATGCCCTCAATGGTCTGCTCACCTGCAGTCACTCTTATCAAAACCCATGGCTTCATCAAGTGGACAAGCTCATTGAGGAAGGCCTTCTGTAACTGTGACTACTGGTGGTGGATTGTCCTCACAAGTACCTGGGAGTGGAAGTAAAGGGAAGGGCCCAGCATCCAACAAGCAGCTGGCAGCTGACTCCTCGATGGAAAGTGCCCAGCCAAAAAACATCAATTGGGATACTCCTCGTACCAAAATACTTGTCCAATGGCTTCTTAGCCATCCTGCTAACTGCAGGATTCTTTTCAGCAACAGAAACTCAGGCGACTTACCCCCATCATTATCATCTACTTTGACTGAGAGACTGGTGGGCCACAACAAGAAGGAGGTCCAAGCAATGATCGCCCAAGCTGTTTTCAAGGATGACAGTGTCTACAAGGACATGTACACAGTGAGTGCTGCCAAGTTTCAAGTTAGTGTGGGCAACTGTCTCAATACATGAGTCTCCAATCATCTGATAACACAAGGTGCAGATTCCAATAATGTTTACCATATTTCAGGACATTATAGTAAACATTAGTTTCAATAACTTCAAAATAGTATGTGTGACATTATGACAGAAATATCTTAAATCAAATTTGTATAATGTTAACATCTTGTATTGTGCAATATGCTTATGAAATCAAAAAAAGTTGGTCCAAATATCTTCTGTGTATGTGTCATTATTGGTTTAATGTAATTCCATTATCATGGGAGCAACATTATGCAAAAAGTAACCTTGCAATATTTGAATGAAAATTAGTCATATTGTTCAAATAATGTTTCCTGTACTTCATCGCCACATATTGGAATTGGCATCTTGGATAATGCTTGCATTATGTGATATGGAATATACAAGAGTTATTTGAAACTAAATCAATGATATTGCTCAAATAATGTAATTCCCAGACTGCAAATTGCCAGGCCTCTGAAATTGCCTCACACACCTGGGATTATAGGCTGGACTTAGCAGCCTGCCAGATGTCTTTCTTCTCACCATCACCACAAATTGGGGTGATTACTACCAGTCTAGACTCATATGCATCGTATGCTCTCTGGCATGTAGGATCCACACTCCCAGTCCCGAGGTATCTCCACATCCACTGCAGTTACTGCAACGTACAATATATTGTTTGAAAGCACTCATCAATTGGTACCACATCCCTAGAAAGTGAGAGATCTGGTGGAGAAATGGGCAAGATATGGCATACATGATGCTGTGAGATGGGGAAGGGGAGACTACCAAATGACAATGGTTGGTTGATATGGCATGAAACTGGAGGAGACTGCAGTGGGGACCACAATGAACATGGAGCAAAAGGAATGGGGTGAATGTGCACACTTGGCCCCAAAATATCTCCACATCCACAGCCATGGGTGCGACGCACCATACACCATTCAAAAGCTTCAATGAGTAGTACCAGGACCCAAAAAAGCGAAATGGGTGAGACACAGCACATGCACAAGTGAACCTGGAGGGAAGGAGAGGGGAGTCCCTTGAATAATGATGGCTGGGGGAATTGGTACAGAAATCTGGGACATGTTAGTGCACTCCTAGGCAGACACAGAGAAAAAGGAACAACATCGATTGGATGACCCAATCCAAAGTTACATGCCAAAGTGCTTCTAAAGGCAGCCCTTCTGACCACAAAAACCAGCATATCCCAACAACTGCCACACGGAATTGGACAGATGAAACATCTCCAGAGAGGTCTCAGCGGGGGGAACAAGCAGCCCAACAAGCGAGAGGAACAGAGTAGAGACAGACATGACATGACAACAAGACCTCAAGGGTAGATCTCTCCACAGCAACATGAGTAACTCCAGCACTGCTTGGCCTTTCAGGATGATCCTGTGCTCGACAGGGAGCTATCGTCGAGTGGTACCATCCTGCCAAGAAGAGAGAGATGCAGTGCAAAAATGAGTGGGATATGGGTCCAACACAAGTTGTAATATTCATCTTGCCATCATTGAGCAAACAGCTTTTCTTACATAAGTTACAGACAAGTTTCATTGCAAACTTCAACTTGTAATCCCAGACAGCACAAATTTCAAATATAAAGCTATTGACCACCAGATGTTCTCCTTCTAACCAGATAGTAATCCCAGCTTATGAACCACATATCTCACTACTTGCAAGCCTCCTCCCTTTCATGCCCTTGAATTTCTCTGCTACCCTAGAAGTGTGTGATATGTTTGGCATAGGGTACAAGCAAGGGGACCGACTGTAACTTACCTCAAAACAGCCTCCATGTGTGATAAATCCATCTCTGGGAGTACGTTAAGCCTGGATTTATCATCATCATCCAGATGCAGGAGCCAGGTGCTATCATAGAAATTGCTTGGTAAACCAGGGACTGCTGCACCCAATGATTCCACCCGGCATGAAGAGACCCGTATGTGTGGGAAAGCACCCCATTTGGCTCGGCCATTGGCATTGAAATGGGTGGAAAGATGAATAAAATCAAATACTTGTAGCCAATTGGTAGCTGTCTGAGAGCGCCAGTTAAGTCATGTAATGGCATACTGCTTCATGCCAGGCAGGTGGTCAGACTCATTGCCACTCATTGCATCGTGGGGCAGGGTTTTCCAAAGGGGCTTAAAGGGCACAAGGTCCAGATGTGCTGAGCAAGTGTTAGCCCAACAGTGTCACAGCTACAAAAAGTAGCCAGGATTCAGCAGAGCCTTACACCATGTCAGAAAGTCTTACCAAGCAGTGCCTCTGATCTCTTGTGTTCTCTTTTTCTTTGTCATGCTTGATTTGCCGCTGCTCATGGTCAGGATCACTATCAGCTTGCAAATTCATGTACTGCACATGTAGGGTGTGCAAGTGAGTCTGGAAGACCTTCTTAATAGTGTGTTTGTTTGGAGAACCATACCATCCACATTCAAAGAAGTGAGATGCAAAGACTTCTGTAGCATGTTTGTTCCAGTCCGAAGAAAGTGCTCCATGGAAGTCCAAATGGAAGTCCTCAGCAGTGGGTCCTCCATGTCCTGTAGCAGTATATAGTGCAGTTGCTTGTGATGATGCAACCCTTGCCATCAGAAAAGGATGCCACTTGCTCCCTCAATCCAGTAGGTGGACTGCATGCTGGTGCATGTTCTCCTGTAAGATATTAGCCCTAGTATCAAGATGCCTCACTAAGGGTGCTAGACCTGCCTGTAAAATGAGCATTGCACCATCTTGGTATTTTCATTCATAGTTGGGCACCTGATCTTCCTCAGAGCTGAGAGTGGGGTCGGCAGGTGCAACTGTAGAGAGGGCTTTCAGCACTGGAGATGATTTTTCTGTTGCCCCCTGCATCATGATGGCATCACACAAGTCTAGTACTGCCAATGTGAGTACGATCAGATCTGCCTTTGTCATGGACTGGTTCTGAATGTTCATGAGCATATGTAGCATAGCTTTGTACAGTAGTATGTACCTGGTCACCTTCCAAGAGCTTTCAAGAGCTATATCCTGTGTACAGCTATTTCAGTACATGTTATAAAGAAGGAATGTCGGAGCAAGATCATACCATACATCTATCGCTTGCCTTGTTTGAAGGCTGCTGTCCTGCAAATTGCTCGCTTCCACCTGGATTCTCTGATGTAGCTGCCCTAAAACCAACAGGCTCGTCTTCGCCTTTGGAGTCTGCTCCATAGCCTCCCCGATCTTCATCATAATCCTTGGCATTGATATTGTCATGTCCATGTTCCATGGCATGGTCATCATCGAAACCAGGGGCTTGGGATTCATCAGTAGAAGCTGCAACATACCCTTCATTGCCATGATCAACCTCTCCATATTCCATCGCACAATCATCACAGAAATCAGTTACTTGGATTTTGTCAGTAGAAAACAGTGACAGTAGATCAATAAACACAGTACCAGGTTGAAAACGTGAGGGAGACCCCCCACAGCCATCACCAAAGGAGCTGGGCAACTCCCAGTAATGTGCAGGTTGCACAGTATGCATAGATGACATCCCCCCCTCTGGAAGTTGTAACTGACCCTGGTCTGTATGAGTTGGAGATAGTGCCCTGCTGTCATCAAAAATTGAGCAATGCTGGTTGTGTAGAATACTAGATGTTGGACTGGGTATGCTGTCCTCACCCAGTGAGTTGGAAGGCCATGGGTGATGTACAGGCTGTGCAATCTGCACACACAAAGCTCTCTCCTCCAGAGGTTGCAGCTGATCCTGGTCTGTAAAAGCCAGGAGTGACGGACTGGGAAGTGATGGGCAGGGGAGCAGATGAGGGTCAGGTATTGCCAAGATGGACAAGAGTCAATCATCTGAGTTTTGCAGTGCCTCAGAAAATAATGTAGGTGTGGCAATACCATTGGAAGTCAATTCATTCTGTTGTGCATTAGGCCCAACACCATGTGGCAGGCTTCCAGAGGGTCGTTCACTATGAGGACGAGGTGCCCTACTGTCATCGAAAATCTGGTTTTGTAGAATACCAGATGTTGGACCGGGTATGCTGTCCTCACCCAGCGAGTTGGAAGGCCATGGGTGATGTACAGACTGTGCAATCTGCACATGCAAAGCTCTCTCCTCTGGAGGTTGCAGTTGATCCTGGTCTATAAAAGTTGAGGGTGACAGACTGGGAAGCAATGGGCAGGGGAGCAGATGCAAGTCAGGTGTTGACAAGATGGATGAGAGTTGATCATCCAAGTTTTGTGGTGCCTCAGAAAATAACATAGGTGTGAAAATACCATTGGAAGTCAATTCATTCTGTTGCACATTAGGCCTGACACCATGTGGCAGGCTTCCAGAGGGTCATTCACTATGAGGACGAGGTGCCCTACTGTCATCGAAAATCTGGTTTTGTAGAATACTAGATGTCAGACTGGGTGTGCTGTCCTCACCCAACAAGGTGGAAGGCCATGGGTGATGTACACACTGTGTGATCTGCACACATGAAGTTCTCTCCTCCAGAAGTTGCAACTGATCCTGGTCTGTAAAAGTCGGGGGTGATGGACTGGGAAGTGACAGGCAGGGGAACAGAGGAGGGCTAGGTGTTAACAAGGCAGATGAGAATGCTTTGTTCGAGTCCTGTGGTGCATCAGAAAACAATGTGCACATGACAGTACCATTCAAGGTGGATTCATTCCATTGAGCATTAGATCTGACATCACGTGGAAGGCTGCTAAAGGGTCCATCATTCAGGTCAGGATCATGTTTGGTGTGAGGACTGGTGTTGGCTTCATGACTTTGTTCTTGGCCAGCTAAAAGTAGTGTTGCCATTGCACCCATAAGTATCCTTTGGGGCATTGGAAATCTGAAAGTGAAGGAGCAGATGGCCTGGCCCCCCTCCACATCAACTTCCTTTATGGGGCCAAGTTGGGCTGAAGACTCCTATATAAAATATAGAACACATGAATGTATTGACAAGGTGAAACAACATACCATGCTCTCAACACAATTGGAATGATCGGTTCTGGCATCCTGTCCAGTGTGTATGGAATCCTGTTCCAATCTTGACCTAGACCCCTGTGAGGGACTGACAACATGGGGCTTTACGGTGGGTTGTTGTCCATGAGAGCTCATACTGGAGACAGCATGACTGGTCTTCATCTTCTTCATGAGATGTGGACTGGTTGCATGTTTTGCTGTACCAGTAAGTTTGATTGGCAGGGTAGGAGACCTGGGCCTCTTCGATGTAGAATGCAGTGGGTTAGAAAATCCAGGCAGCTTGACAGTAGAACCTAGATGTGAACTCGTTTCCTATGAGAGAATGAAACAGCAAAGATGAGACAGCCTACACCTGAAGCAGCCAAATGTTGCAAACCTTGATATGTCCATGGTCCAGTCTGACAGGTGCACTAACACCATCAAGGGGATCGTGATGTGTAGCTGAAGGGGTATATGGCTTGGCGTCCATATCCATGGAGATTGGATCATCTGTTAGAGCTTCACCTGGCACCTCTAATGTAAGTGGCTCAGTGCCTGCTTCATCTGTGGGACTTGGATCATCTGCTAGAGTTGTGTTGAGCACCTCTGAAGTAAGTGGCTCAGTATCTGCCTCATCCACAGGACTTGGATCGCCTGCTAGAGTTATGTTAGGCACCTCTGCCAGTTCATGATGTCATGAAATTCTCTCCTTTCGGACTTGATGAGCATGCTTGTATGGCTCAAAAGTGTGCCTGCACCACAGAGTATAGTGTAGAATGTGACTGAAGAGAGAGGACTGCATGTAGAGCCAATGGAATGTTGAAAGACAGATGCCAACTCATAACCAATGACCCACTAAAAGATACTTTGTCAGTGGCCAAGCACAGAACAAAGAGAATATGCTGGCTTTGTGACTAACATGACAGCTGGTCCAAATCCTGTTTTGGAAATAATCATCAGTGGACCTGGATCCTGAAGGAGTGTTCAGCCCAAAATGAGTGAAGCACACTGAGGCGGCAGCCTATTCAACAAAACACCCAGCATCACAGTAGCAATTGGATGTGGTAGATCACATTCATCCTGGCTGCTGCCTGAGAGTGCTCTGGCTGCTCCAGAGCTTTCCCAGTGGTCCCAATGTCTTTTGCAACAGTTGTCAGAGGACCTCAGTTCGATTGATGAAAGAAGTGGCCCATTCTGGAAAGCATACCTGGAAAGGCCACACCCAATTTTCCAGGTATGGAGGTGAGATCCCCTGCTTGACCTCAGATCATCCTGGCAACTAAATTTTTTGCAGGTCGATAAATGCAAATACATCTCTAGGAAGTGATAGCTACATACTGAGGCAAGGCTGGACGTCAAGTTAGATGGTTGGGCGACACTATGTGGAATGATTCAATGTTATTCACAATTTACTGCTGGATCTTTGAGATTTTGACATACTGATACTTGGATGTGAGCAGTAGTAAGGCATGTCCTTGGTAGGCTTGATAATGCTAAGGAGTCTGTTGAGAAGAAGATATATAGTTGGGCACACAGTGCTGAAGCCATGAGAAGTTGTGTTGGTGATGTCTTTGCCATGACTTGTGGTGTTGGAAAAGGGCAGCTGAGTGTGAAGGAAGGCAGATGAGCCAAATTTGTTGGAGAAGAGTGACAGGAATCTAAGAGAGGACATGTCATTACAGGAGCCCAAAAACTTGTGCTTCCCAGAGCCAGCAGAGGGTGAAAGAGGCCTGACAACTGTGTCACAGACTCACAGGTGGTAATGTCAGGATATAGCATCTATTTAATGTGAGAGAAGTGACACACCTGGCATTTTCCCTCCAAGGCTGTCACTTATCGGACAGCTTCTTGAACTAGCAGTTGTGGTGCAGGTGAGCCATAGATCTGGCTACATTTGAAGGTGCAGGCCTCTGGCTGCAGTTCACATTCATAGTATGGATGAGCTCATTGTGGCAACATACTTGCTTGTCCTTGCCCACTGGGATGCTGAGGAGGCAGCCCATGGTTGTTGTACTGGTCATTGTGCTTTGCAACTGATCCTCCACAACATCCCATGGCTGGCTTGGTGAGGCTTCACGAATGCCCCAGGGGGATGGATGTTGTTGAAAATGGTCATCTACCAGTCACTGATGCTTGGAGTTCGATGGTTTCCTGAAGATACTTAAGGCATGATGACATGTGGAAGAAGAGCATGTGATGTCTTTGCTGTAGCTCATGTGTGTGGTCAGCATGGGGATTGCTGATAAGAGAGCTGAAGGACTGAAATCATTGGAAAACAAAGAGGGGAATTTGACAGTAAGCTGTTGTAGAACATGCATAGTAAAGGATGGGTGGTTTCGCTTATGGGATGCCACACCCAGGGGAGAGGGGTCCTGGTTGTTGTTGGGGCCGTCACTTGCAACAGAGTTGTGATTGGACCAATGAGTAGCCTGACACTGCATCTAGTGGTGGAGGTATGTGAATTGTTGAATTTGGGACAGGTTTTGAGACTGGGGTTGCTAAGGATGTTATTTGCAGGGGCTGCAGGCAACAGCTGATTGACTCAGAAAGTGAGTGAACATGTGTTTGATGGTGCCGGGTTTAGCATCCTAGTACTGCTCCTGTGCAACTTTTTATACTACCCCTGCATACTTTTTAACACAGCCACTTTGTACCACTTTGCACTAGCTAGGAGGGCAGATAAAGTAGATAAACATAGGCAGGACATGAACACAGTTCATTGGCACTCTCCCCAGTCATCCCGGGCCTCATGGATGCCCTGCAGGGCCCACTTGAATGCTCGACCCCCTCCCAGTGGTGGGATTGCCATTTCGGGAAATTCCCACAGAATCACCACCTGCAATAATTTCGGAATCCACTGGCTGCTGTTCCACCCTGAAGGCTTTTGTAATCTGCAGAATTTCACTCTCTGCTGTCTCCCTGCAGATTCCAGATTGTCTCTGAATGATTTGATGGCATTTCTACTGGATATGCCTCTCCTTCAGGTCCTTGTCATTTGCCAAGCCCTGCAGCAATCTGTTCCTCCATCTAACCCATCAAGAATATCATTTTCATGTCTTCATATGGTCATTTTGGAAGCTACTGCAGTGCATATGGCATTCCTGCTGGAATCCCTTACTACTCCCCACCTCCAAATACTAGAAGTTCACTCAGAAGATCTGAGTGCCCAAGGTAGCACTGTGGATTTGAATCATCTTTTGTCTGTTGTGGGAGCATGTGCTCAACTAACTACATACCACATGGTGGAGGTTCATTACAATGCAATGTCAATCCAAGTTTTTGGCTTTCCAGAGGCAATTGGTTACATTGATGCACCCTCTGTCCTTGAGCAAAGATGTTATTCTCATAACCAGCCAATTTTGGATGCTCGTGGCTGACACTCAGTTATTGCCACACCCTAAAATGTCTGGTGTCTTTTGTGCTGTGACAAGGCCATCCATCACACCATTGACAGGCCTTGACTATTGTCATCATTTTCGCAAACTGCAGTAAGCTGGAAACTGGTGGTATATCATCCTTTCTACTGCATCAGGGCTCCACATCTTCATCCAAGATTGCACATAGTTTGGCTTCGTGCGCTGGAATGCTGCAATCACACCAGTCACTACTGTTTTGGATTGTTGCGATTAGACTGGCAACCCAAACTGTATATAGTGGGGTGTCTCAGTTACTTCTACAGTTACCTGCACAACTCAAGTTCTGCATTACAGTAATTCACATGCCACATGGCCATAGTGACCAAACCCACTCATCTTGGAGCTCATGCTTTACACCAATTATGTGTGAGGCCAGTTGTCTGACATTCTCCACCAATACCAACTGGTGGTTGCCCATGTATATTCATCACCTCGACTTTCATGCACAATGTTGATTGCATTCAGGCAAGTGAGAAAGAATCACCATGAGGACTAGAACCACATGAAATACATAAGATTGTTCTTCTTGCTTTGCACTGTTTAGGTCCATCAGACAGGTTGAAAAGAAGCAGGAAGAAGACACTCACTGAGTGCAATCCCACTCAAGAAGTGTTCATAGGTTACCTTCATAGCACCCTCCCTGAGAGTGACCATACCAGCTTCCACACATGTAACCTTGAGCTGTGCTCCATTGAACTCATCAGAACTGCATGCAAGTTCCTCATAATTGACATCGGGGCTGATGGTCATTTTACGGGAATGGATCTCAAGAATATGTGCCCTAGCAGTCTCGTTCAGAATTGGAAATTTGATCTTGCGATCTAAATGCCCCAAATGAAGTAGTGCAGGATCGAGGATATTGATCCAGTTGGTAGCTGTGATGACCTGGATGGTTAACAGTTAATTAGAAGGCCTGGGAGAGGGTTGTTTCTTTATGGGTAGTAGTCACCTTGATATGCTTGTCATTTGAGAAACCATTGAGTTGATTGAGAAGCTCCAACATCATTCATTGTATTTCACACTCACCACTTTTCTTGGAATTGAACCGCTTGGTAGCAGTGGCATCGGGTCCGTCAATAAATATGATAGCAGGTGCCTTTTCCTTTGCCAACTCAAAGGTGTTGTGCACTAGCTTGGCACTGTCACCAATGAACATCTGCACTAGTGAGGGTCCTGCTAGTTTCAGGTAGCAAGCTTTTGTCTAGATCATGTCATTTTGATAGCAATACGTGATCAGTAGTCTCTGAAAATAGACCAGGGAAGGATAGCTAAACAATTCACTGAGTCAATCAAAGAGGCACCATCGATAAGGGTCTTCAGGAATCCAAATGTGAATTTGCGAAGGATGTGAGGATATCAAGTGAATGTGTAAGTATTGGCAGCACAGCTGTCATGTGTGAGTGTTTGCACTGTTCTCCCCCTCATAAATAAGTACTTATGTTCTGCCCATTCAACCCAGGGAATAGTGGTACATCCAAGCCTGACCCATTAGGTTCAACCGACGGACGCATCATGAATTAGTGAGGGGTGGGTATGCAGTCAGCTATCCAAAGTTATGCTTTGGCATGCATATCTTAATACCTAACTAGTATACTTCCCATGTAGACATTTACATAAACACCTGGCTAGTGAATAAAAATCAGGCCCCCAATGTGTACCTCGCAACTCATTCAACATCTATCATAGCATCCAACATACGATTGTAGGCTACAGCAAAAGTATGCATTTCCTGCAGAATGAACAGCTTGGCCTGCAATTCATAACAACAGTGGTAGACACCCACCAATGACATGGCATCGACAATGATCTTGCCAGTTGCAGGATCGGTCAAAGAACTCTTTGGCATGAGTCAGCGGTGCTGTGGGTGTATCATCTCAGTTTGAACTCACAAGAGGGATAGGAGCAGCAGGATCAATATAATGTTTCCTGGTGCTTTGCAGATGTTGAGGGCTGAGCTGCAGATGTCATGGGCTCAGCTTCCAATATCTGGTAATTCAATATGGTCAATTGTCATATTTATTTCAGCCAAAGATGTTGCTTGGAACTACCATGGAGAAAGAGGGATAGCCCTGTAGCTGTTGCAAGAGCAGTGGTGACTGCAGATATTCTTGCTTCTAAACCAGTCAATATTCACAAGCTTTCACCAGAGAACTGAGAAGTGTCCACTTACAACTGGGTATTGCATTTCCAAGTTAGCACTATAGCTGGGATGTGCAACTGGCATCAATAGGTCTGCCTCTTTCTACAAAAGGAAAGGTTGATCAATAATCAGTGTTCACCTTCGAGCCTCCTTGACTTGCCATAGGGAAGACAGGAGTGAAGCGACAGTTTGCTGGAGATTGAATGCCCTCCTGCTTCTGTTGGAATTTCATGGGTCACTTGGATCAAAGCAACTTGGATCCACTCACTACAGAGAAAGGGACATCTGAAATTATTCATAAGAGAACAAGATCAGCAGTTAAAACAGATGTTGCCAAATCTTCAGTGGCTTACAATGGGGGAAAAGGTTTCAGGGGGTGACCAGAAGGGGCCACCATTCAGGTGTGGTGGTTCATGATCTTCTTGCTTTGAGTGAGGATGCCAAGATCGAAGGTCATAAGGTATGCTTTTGTGAGAGACATGGGTGGCATGCACATGGCCCATTGCAGGGTGAGGATGGAGACATCATCCACTCATGGGCATGATGGGATTTATACAGTACTTGGCCAAGGGAGACAAAGCACATGTCTTTGTGGTTTTCTACAAAGGGACACAATAAAGAAAATAGGATGCATGATTATGTAACTTGTATGGGCTTAGAGCAACTGATGTTGACCAACATACATATGCATGCTATTGAAATGCGAGGCATAGGATCATTTGACAGACATGAAAGCCATGAAGGTTTTTCATACTGGGTTGGATGGATCACCTAACATGGTTGTTAGAGAACAGCAGGTGGAAAAATTCAGGGATGAACCAACAATTTGAGTATTACTTCAACCTCGACAAGATCACCATCAGCAACCTTCATATCAGACTTGCCAGGGGTCATGAAAATTCCTTGTCAGTCATGGACATCCAATGTATTGACCCTTGCCTCAGCAAGACATCTGTATTTGTATGTCTTCGAAAGTCCAATATGGCGATGGAAAGGATCCAGCAAGTCGTTGATCCTGAAGATTGTGACCTGGCCACACCAGGCATGAGGAGCCATGAGAAAAACCAGTTCTACGACCTACATGGCTCGAATGAACAAAATGCCAGTTAGACAGTTAGGTGACACTACACAGAATGATTCAATGATTTACTGCTGGATCTTTGAGATTCTGACATACCAATACTTGGACGCAAGCATGGAATCATTTCAATCCATAGTCTCTAATTAAGTATGGACAATAGCTGCACTCAGCCTTGACACCACTGGGCACAGAGTCATTGCTGGCTCTGTGAAGCACCATAGGGTTAATGCTGATGGTGGTGGCACCAGAAGAATGCATGGTGGGTGCATCATGCATTTTGAGAGTGAGAGATTCATTGTTCGGCACATTGCCCCAGGGCCTGTGACTTTAGTGGGGACAATGGGGAGGACATCTTTGACGGCCTGCAAGAGGGCATCGGCAGGTCAATTGACCAGCGGGCAGCCAAACAGGGGCACAGTCACTAGGCCAGCCAGGGCGCCAAACCATTACTAACTTTTTCATTCCTATTTTTCAACTATCTGGATTCTGGAGGCTTGGCCCCCCCTCCCCCCACACTACACTGATCACAATGCAAGGAAGTATAACCAAATCCTTTCATTCCTGACCTCTTTTGGTCCAAGCTAAAGGTTTTTCATCAAGCAGGGCAGCTATCTGGGTGAGGTCACTTGCTCAGACATCAAGTCATAATATGGACTATTTTCATGAGTAGATCAGAGATAGATGGGATGAGTTTGACTGGACCATCGAATATGCATTGAGCTGATGCCCAAACCAATGGTAAGGGCTGAAGAAAGAGTGACTTGCTTTAGCCATGTTCACAAAGGTGTATGTGCTCATGCAAGACAATCAAGTAACTCATTGGGTGGGTGACATTTATCTATAGCTACCAATTGGCCAGGTCCTCATGGCTTGCAGCACCACTCATTCTCTTTCTAATGAAAAAACCCAGAGTGCCACTACTACTATTCCTTTGTGCATTGAATGCCAGCTAGCTATATAAAGAGGTTGTTGTATGGGGAACATTCCAATGCTCACATCCCCTCCCAAGGTTTTTTACACAATGTCCCCTACAACACACTCCATGTCTCGTAAAGGTGTCAGACACTATTCCCCATACAATCTATGATCTCATGGCTCCTGCCAAATGTTTGAGACCCTACCTACTCCCTTGAGGACCCCTACCTGCCCTTGCAACCCCTCTGGCCCTCATCTGGTCCCTGCTGTTGGTCTTGACATGCATGGGAGTACCTCTATGTATGACATTGTGCACCAAGCGGTACTCAATGGTATTCCACTGGTGCATACTTTCTTTGTTCATGCCACTTTTCATGAAAACCAATTTCTGCAGGACAATATATACTACTCTATGATCCTCGTGTTTGCTCGCAATTGCACAGAAACAGTCGATGCTGTGTATGTTGAGCAGCAGCACATGTGAGTACCACCCTTGTTATACCTCAGGAGTTCTAGTGTTCATTCAGAGCAATGGCAGCATACTGAAAATAGAAGCTGGAGAGCCAATTTTGGACAAAGAATGGGTGCGCCTCTACTCTCATTTGTTAATTAACTTGCTCAGCATTCCACTTCAGAGAATATTCTCTCCACTCCAAGTGAGTTGCACCAAGGGCCTTATGGAACTTGCAAATACCCTCATTGAGTTTGTGGAATGCTGGTAAGCCACCCCTAGTAACCACTGGGCCAACTTACTGATGGGTCTTTACAGTATTCTGGCAGATAGGGATGTCTTGCAGTAGGCCATCTGCCCATGAACTCAGCAGGTAGTATCATGTTACACAGCTGAATTTATCCTGAATCTGTAATAGTAATTGTACATGTAGAATATTTGACCATCATGCTGTGGAGCAAAGGGCACAATTTCATTTTTGTTAGTTATACTTGACTGGGGTTCAACATTCAATGTTCAACCTTGCTTTGCATAGTGGTGATGTGTGGTACATCCAGAATCAAAATGAACAAGTTGAATATCAACATAGCTATGCAAACAGTGCACATACAATTTCCTATGATGGCTGCATATGCTTTCACTGATCAAGCCTCTCATAGTCTGGAATTGTCACAGGATCATTTTTGCTCGTGTTTTCACTCACAACAAAGTTCTGGAGTTTGAATACATAGTAGTTACACTCTGAAATGATTATCATTATCACATCAAAGACCACTGTGCCTCGGGGATTTTGCCTTCTTCGCATGTGATTTTGCTGCTGGCAGACTGGCCAAAACAGATGGTGTGGGTATTGACTTGATGTGAGGCATAAATCCATCTGGAATTACCAAGAAGACATGGCATAGGGTCACCGGTGGGTGTGTCTACTTATCCTGGAAAATATACAAGTGGTGCAGTGGTGGTGCCAGCCCCATGTGGCAGGTGGGGTCATGCCGGGTCATGTGACCTTAACCCTAACCTGATGTGTGCCAATGGCTCCTGAACAAGGTGGGGACACATGACCTTAACCTTAACCCTGACCCCCTGCCTCCTTGGCCTGGAATGGGAAAGGGATGGAGCAGCGGAGCAGGACATGCAACTGTGTCAATTAACGGGCATGCACACAGGCCATGAATGTAAAGGGTAGTGGTAGCAGCTAGTATGTGCATAAATGAGGGATGGGATGTGACAGGAAGTGTGAGTGTGAGCATGCTAATGGGCACACCGATTGCAAGACAAGTTAGATGAGAAAAGAGGTGAGAAAGCGAGGGTGGCAAAGCAAAGAACAGGAAAGAAGAAGAATAGAAACAAATGGAGAAGAAGGAGAAGGAGAAGGAGAAGGAGAAGGAGAAGGAGAAGGAGAAGGAGAAGGAGAAGGAGAAGGAGAAGGAGAAGGAGAAGGAGAAGGAGAAGGAGAAGGAGAAGGAGAAGGAGAAGGAGAAGGAGAAGGAGAAGGAGAAACAAGATGAACAAAGGAAATGATGGCAGGAGAGCAAGTAGGGGCTGACAGCTGGAAGCAGTGAAGGTTGGGGGTGCAACCACGAGTGAGCTGTGGACATGATTAGAGGAGGTGGGGGTAGGCTACATTGCAGTTCTGAAGCTCGAACGTGACGGGTTGGGGTTGAATATTGATGGAATGGAATGGCGAGCAGGAGCAGTGGATGCTGCAGGTGGCCCAGCAGTGCTTCAGGCCTGCGACTCCAGCTGCCAGCACTCATGTCATGCCTTGTTGATGGCATGGAAGAGGTGTGTGTGCCCTTCTTCTGCCTTGGGGTAGGCTGCGAGGAAGTGAGCCTCATCACACTTGGAGCTGTCATATGGCAGTGGATGTCAAACATTCACATCGAGTGCATGGGAAGCATTGGGTGAGCAGGCAGGCTACTCAAGGAGAGGGCTGGATGGGGGCACTCACATGTCAATAAACTCCAGTGCAATTGTGGCCCACTGGCTGTACTTGGAGGCGAAGGTGCGGTTGCAGCCCTGGTACCAGTCTGCAGGCCAGTCCTTCAATGGGACACTCAGGCCACATGGGGGATTGCTGATGAGCCAATGGGTGATGATGTCCTGCCAGGAGTCCCTTCTGGGATGTCATGAGCCATCCAGCAGCTTGATGGGTATGTTTGGAATCCTGAGCCTAGAGAGTGGTGGCTGCTTGGCAAGGGGGACGATAGGGTAGTCATGGCAGCTTGCTGTCTGGCTCAGGCCAGCACCAGCAGTGACAATGTGATTTGCAGGGACTCAGGCCATTGGGCCCACTGGCAGGACCAGGGCAGATGCCTGTGCCAGCTGGGGGATAGGTGTGGGTGTGATTGAGCTGGGATGCCCATGCAGCAGCTGTGACTGTGAGGGTGGTGTGACAGAATGGGGTACACTAGCATAGCTACCATGAGTTGTAGATCCAGTGCAAGGCTGCCACAGAGCACCAGCCATACCTTGGCAAATGATGGTGGCAAGCTCATGAATGGACTTGCTGACCTGCCCCATCCTGGTCCACAGGCCATGAACATTGGAGGTGATGGATGCATGGGCTGTGCGAACCTCCTCTGCAGTGACAGGTTGCATGAGGGTAGATTCGCCTACCAGAGAATCCTGCACATCCTGTACAATCAGAGCAAGTGCATCACTGTAGTCTGTCTTGTAACAGTAAAGCTCATCTAGGAGGTATTGGATGAGGGTGTTATGCTGGAGGCCATGTCAGAGCAGGTCAGTAGTACAGTACCAGGTGTGAAGCATCCAGGTCAACGCTATGAATGATGGGACACTCAAACTCAGCACTTACATGCTCCCCCTCAGCCCAGCCCCCCCACCAGTGGACCTTTTTGAGGGACCAGCACTTGCCAACAGGGGCCAGCATAAACCTGTACTGTGCTCCACCCCGTCGAAAGCAATGGGTCAAGAAGGAGCCTTGAATTCCCATGCCAGTCATTGCTTTGTTGATCCACTGTTGCATGGCATCATGCGAGATTGGCTCATGGGGCTGTACAACACCATTAGCCCCCATCACAGGGAAGACATTGTCATCAGGGTCAAGTGGTTGTTGGTAGTGGACACGTTCAAGCCAGTGTACCCAGAGTGGCAGCCACAGGAAGCAGTCGGCTCCTGGGAGCTCAGGCTGGGGGAAGATTTTATACTGGTTGCCTGCAGGGAAATGCATGCTTGGTTTGATGTCAGCTCACTCACAGCCTTATTGTGTGCATTACCAACAAGGCGATCAGGCTAATGGTGGACTCACTGTGCAGATCAGCCTCAGTCATCCTCTTGTCAACCTTGTGCTGCCACCCCTTTCAGTTTGCTAGGTAGACCTCGAAGTAGACAGACCTGTTGGACAGCATCAGTGGCTCATTTCCAAGGTACTTTTCCAGTGTGTGGTCCACCATTGTGCAGTCAATTGTGATGTGCCTCTGCTTGAGTTGGATCAGCTCATAGCACCTATGTGACTGTGTGTATCTCTCAGATGGGGGTCACACAATACACTCCACAATGGAGTCACCTCACTGACCTTGTCCATAGTGTCCATGCTGTGGATGCAAATGCAAGTTGCTCAAGGTGGCATGTCACCAGTGTCTGCACCTTGAGACCAAGAAGTTCCAACAGTGGCTGTTGTGTGGGCCCACTGCCAGGCATGCTGAAAGTCATTTGAAGGACACTCAAGGCAAAATCAAGGTCAGGGCACACTGTGCATGCCCACTGCAACATCCAATCCAAGTGATCCCATGTGATGGGCAGTGAGTGCTTGCGATCACCTGCTTCCACACTTGCCTTGTGCTTGATCGAAGTCAGGACGTCGTCTTGAACATCAGCTGATTCTGCTGGGTTCCCCTCCCAGCACTGCCTCACCTCATTGAACCCCCACTTGCCTCGAAAGGTATTTCTGTCCCTGTTAGATGGCAATGGCATGGTATCCACCAATGCCCAGTCAGTGGTCTGCACACCCACTGGCTGTCTGAACACTGGGACAAAGGTCTGCTTATGCATTTGCCCAAATGTCTTTGAATGCTGCCCTGATGCTCTCCACAGTGCTCTTGCCTAAATTCTCATGGAATCCCTTCCACATCATGTACAAGGCCAATGCCTTGTCAGAGCAGCTGTTTGGTGTGCTCTCGAAGGCTGTTCTGAACTCTGGGTTGCTGTATGGGTTGTTGTGCACCATGGGAGTCAGGGCTGGGCCAGCATCCTCAGGCTGGCTCTCCATTCCAGAGGCAGCAAAGCTGCTGAGCCACTCTTGACCTTGGTGGACATGTGCAGCTTAGGCAGTTCTTGTTCTTGCTGCCTTGAGGTGTGTCTGCTTCCCCTGCTCTTTCAGCTGGTTGATGTCCTTCAGAGACATGGCTGCAGCAGTGCCAGTGTTGACTGCAGGGGTCTGCCTCTTCCAACTCAACTTCTTCTGCAGTGACTGCAACACCACCAGAGCCTTCTTCGACTCTTGATTTCAACCCATCAGGTCAGATATATTTTCTGGGATAAGCCAGGGGTTTAGAAGGAGCTGTGTCACAGCTGGGCACTGAGTGCTGAAGGCCAGAGCAGAGGTCACACCTGAAGGGTTCAAGTCAGGTAACTAGTTGCAGCCACACCACAGGCCCACACAACTATGGGGATGCATAGCACACTACACACATTACATGGATGAAATGGATAGCAAACATATGTACAACCAGTGCTGCCACTACAGTGTCTCCATCTTGTAATTCATAATTCAGTTGATCATGGGGCAGAGGCCCTCGAGCTTGGGGTGAAGCAGAAGGGGCTCATGTGGTGATATTAAATACATATATGCATGGTCATTCGGCACCGATAAGGCATTGCCATTTCCATTTCCATGCACCTACAAGGGGTGATCAGTGTGTTGAGATGTCCAGCACAGATGTTTGACTCAGCTGTCCTGTATTTGTTGAGGGCTCATGCCCAGATGGCAATCGCAACCATACTGCACACAGGGGAACTGGAAGCAAGAGCAGCACATCTTGAGGACCCAAGCTCTTTGTGATGTATCTGAATGAGTCCACAGCAGCATGACAAACAGCTTGCTTGTGGGCTTTCAAGAGATCCAATGACTCGAAGCAGATACCCATCCATTCTTGGGCTGGAATGAACTCGGCACCACAATCCATGATATGACCAATCAAGTTCATAGATGCCTCTTGGGCCTTCTTGTGATGGCTATGAAGAATGGGGGTCATTCGAGGAACTATATGTTGGGTCAGATGTTGAGTAATCAAGAGGTAATAAATACTTGCAAAGATCTTTCACCAGGGGGGGGGAGGGGAGGTTCATTTGCATCATACTGACCACATTTGTGATAGCACCCTCAGTGGCAATGATACTATCGAGCATGCCAGGGTACTCCTCTCTGAGTTGTTCAAACAAGACAAGTCCAAGCTTGCTCAAAAGCTGGTCCTCATCACATTGCTTGATGATGATGATAGTGAGTTGTGTGGTGAGATCAGCAGTCTGTTGACAAACTTTGGCACATTTGTTGTTCAATGCTGCCAGAGGATAGTAGAGACAATCTGTGTAAGGTACAGTTTGACACAGATACCCAGAGTGTCAATAACAGTGCTGAACCCATCCAGCATGACTTGGCCTTCCATAGTCTGCTCCTGGAAGGAGCATGCAATGCCATCGACCAGACAGACCTCCAAATGTTTGTCAATATCAGAGTCACTGAGAGTGGCAACAACTTTTGTGATAGTCTCCATGACCATTTTACAGTACAGCTCTGCTTCATCTTTCAACTCATTCATGATCCTCCCTGCGATCTTGGAGACCCCAGCTCTTTGCATCCATTTGACAATAGTTTTGCCTGTCCAGCACCATGTGACAGACCCAGAACAACTTGAAGAAGTCTGGAGGAATGTCCTGCTTAATGTATTGAGCAGTTACACCATTGGTGGCAGTGCATTGCTTAATGACCATCAAGACAATCTTCTTCATCTCTTCATCCAACATCTGGAATTTGTGGATCAAGATGACCATGACCTCCTTCATGTAGTACAAAGCATATTCTGGGTCCATGAGAGGAATGATGAAACCAATCACCTTCAAGAAGGCAGCAAGTCCCTTTCTGCGATGCTGGTGAATACTGAGCCACAGTGGCCATAGAACCTCATCAGAAGACTCGATTCTATAGGGTGCAGCCACTTCAGCTAGGGCAGCAGTAGCAAGTGCAGTCACTGTCTGCACTTTCTGCCATTTGTCTGTGAGACCACGAGCAACACAGCTGACAAGGCTGCACAAGTGAGGAAGGATGGCACAGCCCATCATGATGGCAATCTGCTGAATGATATGGACACCCGCACAATGAGCCTGCCACAACTTCTGGCTATGACAAATGGCCTTGAGGAAGGGAAGCAATGTTGGGATGCCTAGTGCAGGTGCGACAACAGAAAAGGCACAGGCTGTGGTATTGCACACATATTCATCAGCACAGTCAATGTCCAGACAGATGGTGGAAACCATGTGTGCAAGAGGCTGGCCACTTTTTGCAAGGTTGGAATGACCTCATGGCCTCCAACACAAGTAGTCCTCATCTATAAGGAGCAGCTCGATAATGACTAGGATTTTATGAACATGGGGCCAGACGAGGCTGTTGAGTTTGTATAGGACATGGTTGATGACTTTGGAAGGATGGCAGTCTGCTGAATGATATGGACACCTGTGTGACAGGCCTGCCATGACTTCTTGTGTCATATGACAAACTGCCTTGAGGAAGGGAAGTGATGCTGGGATGCCCCATGCAGGTGTGACAATGGAAAACACACAGCCAGTGGTACTGCATGCACATTCATTGGCATGGTCAATGTCCGGATGCATGGTGGAAATTGTGTGTGCAAGGCTTGGAAATGATCTCATGGCCATCAAAGTGAGCATAGCAGTCTTCATCTACAAGAGCAGCTTGATGATGACTAGAATTTTATGAACATAGGGCTGGACAAGGTTGTTGAGTTTGTATAGGATGCAGCCAATGACTTTGGAAGGACAGCACAGCCAATCAGGATGGCAATCTGCTGAACTGATATGGACACCTGTGTGACAAGCCTGCCATGACTTCTCATGTAGTATGGTGAATCAGCTTGAGGAAGGGAAGTGATGCTGGGATACCCAGTGCAGGCACAACAACAGAAAAGGCACAGGCAGTGGCATTGTGCACACATTCATCAGTGTGGCCAATGTCCAGGCACATGGTGTAAATCATGTGTGCAAGACCAGCCATCCTCATCTCTGACAACAACAAGGTATGCATGCAAAACAAGGGCAGGGGCCCAGAAACCATCTATAAATCGGTGGGTGGGGTGAGCATGAACTCTGTGTCTTTGAGGACACAGTGAGTGTGCAGATCAAAGCTGTAGGGCCAAAAATCACCTACCAACTGATGGGTGGAGTGAACATGAATGCAAATGCAAACATCTTTGTCTTCAATGACCTCAGTGGGGGGAGGGGCAAAAATTCACCCAACAATCGGTGGGCAGAACATATGTGAACATCTTCATCTTTGAGGACAGGGTGGGGGCTCAAAAATCATTCACCAATCAGTGGGCAAAGCAAGCATGGATGTCTAATCACCTACTGATCAGTGCATGGAGGGAATACAAACACACCTCATCTGCAATGACAGGGTGGGGCCCAAAAACCATCTGCTGATCAGTGGGCAAAGCAAGTGTGGACATCATCATCTTCAACAACCAGGTGAGTACCCAAAACAAAGGTCAGGGGCCGAGAATCACCTACTGATTGGTGGGCAGAGCAAATGTGAATGCCTTCATGTTCAGTGATGGGGCAGGCACAAAGAATGAGGGTGGGGGGCCTAAAATTTGTCTACTGATCAGTGGGCAAAGTGAGTACAAAGCATCTGTGTCTTTGATGACTCAGTGAGTGCACAAAACAAAGGATGGGGGGTGAAAATTCACCCACCAATCACCATTCAGAGCAAATGCAAATGCAAACATCTTTGTCTTTGACAGTGGGATGGGTATGCACTCCAAAGTGAGCCAGAACATTGGGAGGGGATATGTGCGGTCAGAGAGTGTGCATGCCACAGGGCAATGGGGAAGAGCTGGCAGGAAATGGGTTGAGCATGAGCATGGACATCAATGGCACACACCTACACTGATGAAATATGACACATTGAGCACAAATGTGGATGTGCACATAGTGCCACAGGTGGATGGGCAGCGACAAGCCTGACACCAATGGCTTAGTAAGCTTACTGGATCTGGAAGGTCTATTAGTTGGTGGATGTGCTACATTGTAGAGGCCAAAGGGCTACAAACAACTACAGAAAGAGCAGACTACAAAGTGTGTAAAGTGCACAGAATGGCAGGGATAAGTTGGAAGTAAGTGGTGAGTGCCATACCAAGGTGTAAAATATACAATGTTTGGCATAAACATTGTATATTTTGCAATAAGCGAAGGTCTATGCTGTCAGGAGGGAGTCAGGGACCTGTCAGCTCCCCCAGTCCCTGGCTACAAAGCCATATCCCACCCCTCCACATCATCCACCACAGTCGCAGCCCCACAGCATGTACAGGCTTACACCTGCACTTTGCACTGGTGCACATGGCAAGCTCTGTCCAAATCTGTGAGGATACCTTATGACATGTATGTAGCTACATGAGCAAATACCTTGCACACAGCCCAGGGCCAAAGCAGGACATGCTAATCTATATGCAGGGGGGGCAATGGAAATGATACCAGAGATACTGAACACTAGTACTACACAATCACACTGTTCAGACCCCAGGAAAAACGTGCAGACACGATGGGGGAAGGTGCTGTGTGTGTGCATAGCTGCCTGCCTCTCATGCTTGTGCCCTACATGCATTCACAACCTTGCAATTGCGCGAACAGTGTCCCATATGCCAAACTCAGTCGCTTACATAATGCTGCCCCCTTCAGAACTGGACAGAATGCTGCTGGGGGGCATGTGACCCCCCTGCTAACCCTTTTTGGGGCGCCCCTGACACAGCTTGTATATTTTATGGGATAACTGTACTTACTAGGCAAAGGATCATGTTTCAAAGTCCACTGGGGAGTGCCTGCATCAAATGAAAATGTCAGGGGTTGTTTTCGTGCCATTTTCATCAAGGACATCAAAAATGAGGTCAAAAACAGCCATCAAAAATGAACTGTGAATTCCCCTAGTGGGATGGACTCTGAACATGTGCATGGTACACACAAAAAAAAAGTGCAGGGTAACTAAGAGTCGGAAAAACATGCATCAATATGTGACAGTTGTAGTGTCATACACCTCGTAATGTTGTATGTCATTTCTACCTTGCCCCTGGGCCCACACCACAGATGTACCGACCATGCATGCAGTGTACATGCTTCAGATGGTCGCAACTTCCCCTCATCAGCTCATCCGATGCTTGTGCACTGGGATAGACCCTCCTTCGTAGCCTCACTGTAGTGGTTGACCATTGCCCCACTACTACTATGTATTTGGCTAACAAAACACATGCCCGTGATCTCCCCATTTGAAGCAGTCTTCTGCACTCCCAACAACTCTATTCTGGAACTGTCCCTTCCAATCAAGGTTTACACCTGCACTTAGACTTAACATCCCTTCCCTTCCCTCTGCATCAAATCCATTCCCAACATGCGAAGGGTGCAGGAGGTGCTTCTCTGATCCAACAAGCCCAGGTGCAAATTGAAGAAGGAGCAGGAAGAGTCACAGAAGATCCTTGCAGGTGCAGAGGGTGTGGTAATGTGCCTTCTCATTTTAAGTTTTCTTGTGTTGTCATCAATCATCTCTGCAGATCAGGACCAACAGCATATGCATGACAAAGAGGGGTTGAGACTGCCTTCTTCTCGCAGTTCCAGTCCAATATCACATTTGTCAATTATCATCTCTCCACTGGTCAATTCTCTGTTCTCATATCACTTTATCCTATTGAATCTTCTCAGGTGTTGGTCATCTCATCGCCATGCTTTTGTCTTCTTAGTGAGCTTCTTCTCCCTGCAAAGCGATCCAAGCCTCTTACCCCAACAGAAGGCAGGATCGAAACATGATTCCATTCACACAGGCCAGCATACTGAGATAGATACTATGAAGAGTGTGGCATGTTGGCCAACAACAGACTGCCTTGAATCTTATATTTCTATCTAGGGGTCTTCTATACTCAATGCAATTTTTCTACCTTTTGTTTGGCCTGCGACTTATGTAATCATCTCTGGATCTGGATATGCTGTGAAGCTTGTCACACTATTCTCTCCACAAAGTTTGAGTGTTCCTGACACAGGTTGAGTACCAATGCATTCATGTGTCATTTCTCATTGCTTGTGCTGGCAGTGCTATGATCACACCACTGTTGACCTTGTCACTGGGCTCCCAGTGAGGGGATGCCACCTTGGAAGAAAGGAATATGCAGCACATTGTGCTGCACAGAATGCAAGAGCCACTGCTCTTGCAACCTGTTCTCAGGTTTTCCCCACTGCAGCTCCAGACATGGTATTTTCTGCAGGTGTTTCATATATCAGCACACATTGCGATCATCCTGATTTGCCATCTCCATCTCGGCCACCATGTATGCCTTCAGTTCTGCAAGATGAGGCTTCTGCTGTGACCGAGGAATGGTCCCGCGAACCACCTGATGGAGACATTCTATGGTATTTGCAATACCTGTCAGGCTGATTGGCAGCACAAAAACAATGCTGTGTGCAGAAGGGTGCTCTGTATCCTCCTGTCTTCTGTGCCCCACCATCCCCTTCATCTGCACACCCACAGAGCATGGACAATGTTGTTGATGGTCCTTTGTCCCTAACCCATGATATGAAGGGAGACTTTGACATCTTGGAATATGAGGAATTGTTATGCAGTGCATTAGCTGCGGCACAAAATGTGTCTTTGCATCCTAATGTGTATGTATGCTTGAACACCAGAGCCCTAGAGACTGCAGCTACAAACAAGATACATTCCCTTTGTGAGTCAAATCACAAAGAACAGATGCAACAGTATATTGGTCATGGCACCCACAGTGCCTCTGCAGATGTACAGACAGGTTAGTTTTCCACCTTAAATTGCTATAAGCTACTCATCTCGCCCTATCCAGAACATTATTTCACACTACTCCAATTCTTTGATCCCATCTCTCTCCTCATGCACATAATCGCTGCTGTTCTCCACCTTCTCTGTGGTGTTTCAATGGATCACTGCACATTCATACTGTCTGGCTTGCATTTGGTGCTCAAACTATCACTTCTGGTGCAGTCAATGTCATCGGGAGAGGCTGCCAATAATGCGGATAGTGTTCCCCAGGATATAAGATCAGTTGTGGATGCTCTCTCTCTTTCCCCTGTCACAAAGGAGTTTGTTTGTTGTCCCAAGTGCTTCAGCTGCTACCCACTCGAGTCTTTCCCTGAACGATGCACCAATCAGGACACCCCATCTAGCGCCATATGCCAGAGGCTACTGCAAAAGCAACCAACAAGAAGGTCACAGGTAGATGAACCCCAGGGATACCCTCCAACATGACTCTACATTTATCACAACTTTAAAGAATGGCTTGGGCACCTTTATTCACGACCAGAGATTGAAAAGCACTTGGAGAAGAATCCAATAGTATCTGGCAGACAGCAGATGTCAGGTGTCCATCAGGATATATGGGACACACCTGCTCTCCAGAATTTTCTTGGCCCAGATGGACAGTGATTCATATCACCTAACTGTGGTGAAGGCCAACATATCTTTAGCCTTAATATGGATGGCTTCAACCCCTTTCAAAGGAAACAAGCCAGATAGAAAGCTTCTTGCAGTGCTATTTATATGGTTTGCCTTGACATGGAGAATCTCCACAGGTCATGGAGGACCTCCACAGGTCATGGAGAATCCCCACACTTGACATGGAGAATCACCACAGGTCATGAAGAATCCCCACAGTTGACATGGAGAACCCCCACAGGCCATAGGTAATCTCCAAGATGACATGGAGAATCCCCACACTTGACAAGGAGAATCCCCAACATGACATAGACTCAATCCCCAGCAGGACATGGAGTATGCACTTAGAGGACCACCTTCTCTGTCCTTTGCACCAGCTGCTGATATACCTTGTGGTGTTGTTAGTGTTTGAGCCACTCAACAGTTCATTCTTTCATAGGACAATACCCTCTGCTTCATGTTCCTTGTCTCCATCCTCTCACACCTGTGTGATTTCCTGGTGACATAGAGGAGATGGTAGTGTCCCAACTTCTGAAAATCACAGAGTTCTTTCAATGGTATATTTGTTGACTTCATCATGGGAGTTTGTTGGTGTCCAAACTGTCTTCCATCATCTTGTTAGAGCAGCATGAGGGGCAGGGTGAGCTAAAGCACAGGGTAGGATAGTTTGAGTGCATAAGGATGAGTGGAGTGTTTGGTCAGGGGGGTGTTTCCTGAGAGTTAACACCCAGATGATTCTGATGTCATATGCAGAAGGTGTCATTCTACCTCCCCTTTCCTCTATCATCTGCCCTGCCCATTTCTCCCCCTGTACCACTCACCTGCTGTCTGATCTTCTCCATCCCCCCTGCCTTTCAAGGAATCCTCCTGATCACCTAGGATTCCAATGCAAGTGCCATAATTGATGGTCTCAAGTTGTTTCACTCTGTAAGAATGGCTTCCAACTTGCCATGGCCTGGGAAAATGGACCTATTTAGCCTGGGGAAAGCCCAGGTTCACCCTGGTAAGTGGGTCTATTTAGCCTGGGGAAATCCCAGGATCAACCTTGAAAGTAGGTCTATTTAGCCTGGGGAATGCCCAGGTTCACCCTGGTAAGTGGGTCTATTTAGCCTGGGGAAATTCCAGGATCAACCTGGCAAGCAGGTCTACTTAGCCTGGGGAAAGCCCAGGTTCACCCTGGCAAGTGGGTCTATTTATCCTGGAGAAATCCCAGGATCAACCTGGAAAGCAGGTCTGTTTAGCCTGGGGAATGCCCAGGTTCACCCTGGCAAGTGGGTCTATTTGGTCTGGGGAAAGCCCAGGATCAACCTGGAAAGGGGGTCTATTTGGCCTGGAGAAAGTCCAATTTGGACCCCAGCTACCCTTTCATTTGATGTATAATATATATATATTATGGAGAAAACATTTTCTCCAACCATATTAAATTGCTGCTCTGGAGAATCTCCAGGAATGGTGGTGGAGAATCCCCAAAAGTTGGGAATTCCCACTAAAATGACACCTATTAGGTTAATACTTATATCAAAATCTCCAGACCTAATAGGTCTCTGGGGGGGGTTGACTGAAGTGATCTGAGATCACAGGCAGGGGGTATGCATCCTTCACTGTATTTTTGTTCAGATACTGGTAATCTTGGCATGGGTGGAAGGAGCCATCCTTCTTTCCAACAAAGAAGAACAGGGCAGCTTGAGGGGACTTCAAGGGGCAGATTTTTCCCTCTTGAAGGTTTTCTTTGATAAATTTCTCTGTGGACTCTCTTTCAGAGGGAGAGAGTTGGTATGCTTTGGCCACCTTGGGGACAAAGTCCTCAACAAGGTTTATGGCATGGTCATAGGGTCTTGATGGAGGTAGTACTCTGTCAGATGGCTTCTCAAAAACTGAGGCAAACTCTTTGTAATCTTCAGGGAGGACTGCCTTCAGTTTCTTCTTGTGTTCCTCTTGTGCTAACTCAGTAGCAGTGGTGATTTTTCTAAGAAGGCTATTTTTTGGGTTGACCTTCTTTGCTTCTTTGACAAGTTTTCCTAGTGCCATTATGAAGTGGGCACATATAGTCTCATCTTCTGGTTCTTCATAATCCATACACTTGTTGATTCCTTTCTTTTCAGGGGTTCCTCAACAGCAACAGAAGAGATGTTGTGTGATAGTTCTTTTGATCGATCAGTCTCTTCATTGATGGAGAGGGTTCCCATTCTCCAATCAATGACAGGGTTATTCTCTTGTAGCCAAGGGAGGCCAAGAATCATGTTTTCTGACCCACAGTTGATGACATGGAAGAAGGACTGATGAATGAGTCCTTTAATTTTGAAGTAGAGGGTGGTAGAAAACAAGATCTTTCCCTTGGAGTTCTGGGATCCATCTTCATTTTTGGCAAGGATGGGTTCAGCAAGGCATTGAGTGGGAATTCTGTGCTTTTGCAC